TCGAATTAGGTCTTTTTGGATCAAAATCAATATTTAGATAATTTTTGAGCAAAATCCCAGTGTGTGGGATTTTGTTTTTATCCATCAAACCAGCAGTCCGGAATAAAAGTGTGACTCAAGTATTCCAATCCTAACACTTCCTATATCCCATTCTAATATCATTTCTCCAAATCAATTTTCTTCTTTTACTTGTTCAAATAACTATTCCATCACATTGATGAATTCTTATTTCCAATATCCTCCCAGGAAAAAACTATAAAAACTTCAAGTCACTTCAAATATTGTTTCTTTCCTGTTAACATCTTCGGAAAGTAGCCACTGCCAATACTGAACTCGACAAAACAAAAGAACTCGAAACATTTACAACTTTTTCTCTGTTTCTGAGCTAGTCATTGCCTTTTGTTGCGATTTGTCCAACTTGCCAATGTTCATTGACTTTGTCGGCGTTGTAGTCATCAATGGTTCGTTCATTGTCAAAGTTTTGGCCTACCAACAAAAAAAAGTTATTAACAAAATTCTTAAAGTGATTGTAATTGGCCGGCTTTTCCTTCGTCAGATCCTACCCTTTTTATTCAATGATGATAGAAATTTCGAAAAGTTATTGGCAAATGTTTGAAGTTAATTTTCTCTGTTGAATGGTAAAAATGGGAAATAGGGTTACCTTTTGGGGATTTTTGAAGCAAAATTGGTGGTATTTTTCGCTCGGTATGAAAAATGGTCCTCATTTTGTTAGAGAACAGGCAGAGCAAATTTACTTTCAAATATATGTATTAATAAAACAGTAACTGACTGACTGATTGATTGGCTGACTTAACGATTCATCAATGCCCAGCCGAAAAGGCTGAAGCTAGAATCTTGAATTGTTGGGTGAGGGTCACTCTTGGTTCGAAGGGGTCAGTTAAGGCTGGATTATTGGAAATTCGTACTAGAATGATACGAAATTTATTAAAGGTCAAATAAGGCTGGGTTTCTGGAAATTCGTATTAGAACGGTACGAAAAGTATTAAATGTACTAAATATGGTACCCATTGTGTTTGAGGAAGCAGTGGAGGTGGAGCTCTTAAATATAAAATGAGGGTCACTGATGGTGCGTATGATAGATGTACTAAAGGAATTTTGGAAATTCACGCTATAAGTGTACCAAAAGTACCAACATGTACTACATTTGGTACCATTTCGTATCATTTGAACGGTTAGAGCTAAAATCCTAAAATTCGGAATGGGCATCAAGGTTGAGGAGTAGAGTCAATGTAAGGGGGTAGTTTTGGAAGTATGTGCTCATGTATACGAAAAGTACTAAGCGGCACTAAATTTAGTACAATTTAAATTTGGAGGAACTGATGAAACTTAAAATCCTGAAATTTGAAATTACCATTACTGGCGGAGTGTAGAATTGAGATATGGAGGAAGTTATCGAAATTTGTACTTATGTGCACGAAAAGTACTAAATGGTTTTAAATTTAGTAGAATTTCGATTTGGGTGAACCGATAGGGCTGAAATTCTGAAATTAAGAAATAAGATTATTATTGCATGTTAGGACTGAGGAATGTAGGCAGTTTTGAACATTCTCAATTATGTGTACTAAATGGTACTGAATTTGGTACATTTTAGATTTTTTGAGAACCCATAGAATTGGAATTCTTAAATTTGATAATAGGATAACCATTGCATTGCAAGACTGAAGTATAGAGGTAGTGTTCGGAATTTGTACTTATGTGTACGAAAAGTATAAAATGGTACTAAATTTGGTACAATTTAAATTTTGAAATCTGATACTAAGATTCTATCGGACTATATGATGAAGATAGTTATGAAAATTTGTACTTAAATGGTACTAAATTCGTTGCAGTTTGGATTTTTTGAGAACCAATAGAGTTGGCATCTTGAAACTTGGAAATGAGATTACCAGTGCATTGCAAGACCATGGTATTTAGGTAGTTGTGGAAATTTGTACCTCTTTGTACTAAATTTGGTGTAATTTAAATTTTGACTGAACAGGAAGAGTTGGAATCCTGAAATATTAAAATAATATTTTTTTATTGGAGTGTATGATGTAGGCACGCATGAAAATTTGTACTTAAGTGTACTAAATGGTATAAAATGTTGTACAATTTAGATTTTGGGATAATCAATAGAGTTGGAATCGTGAAATTTGGACTTAAGATTAATATTGCATTGTAGGTAGTTATGAAAATTTTACTTAAGAGTACTAAGTGGTACTAAATTTGGTAAAACTTGAATTTGGGTGAACCAATAAAGCTGGTGTCTCTAAAATTGGAAATAAGATTACTGTCGGAGTGTAGGATTTGGATTATGTAGGAAGTTTTGGAAATTTGTACTAAAATGTGCTAAATTTGGTACAATTTGAATTTATGCGAACCGATAGAGCTGGAATTCTGAAATTTTAAAAATAAGATTTTTATTGGTGTGTGTTATTTAGGTATTTAAGAAAATTTGTACTATTTTTGTACAAAAATGTATTAAATTTGGTAAAAATTGGAATTGTGATGAGCCGATATAGCTGGAATTCTGAAATTTGGAGTTAGGATTACCGTTGGGTTATATGACATTTTTGGAAGTTTTAGTGTGATAAAGTTGAAATTTTGAAATATTGTATTGGGGTCACTGTCAATTAAAGGTTTATAATAAAGAGATGCTTTTAAAAATATGTGCTACAAGTGCACGAAAAGTACTAAAAACTACTACGTTTGGTACAATTTGGCTTTAGGTGGACAAATAAAACTTGAAATCTGAAATTTTACATTGGGGTCGCTGTTTATGTGTAGCCTGGACATATGGAAGTTAATTGCGTTAAAAGAACTGAATGATACTACATTTGGTATTGAGTGAAATGATAGAGAAAAAAATCATAAATTTTATATTAAGATTAAGATAATGGTATTTGTTTTGGAGATTTGGCGGTGACTTGGAAATTCGTCCTAAATTTTTACGAAAAACACTAAATGGTACTGAATTTGACATTCTGTGAAGGGCTAGGGCTAGAATGTCGAAATTTGATATTAAGGTCTGTGTTTGTATCTGGTATTGGGATATGTTGGTTGTTTGGAAATGTGTACTATAAGTTTACGAAAAGTTAAAGCTGGAATCCTCAAGTTTGATACCAAGGCCTCTCTGGAATTGAGATATTGAAACTGTTTTGAAAATGTGTACTATAATTGTACTAAAAGTACTGAATGGTGTTGTATTATTGGAAATATTTACTACAATTGTACTTAATGGTACTAAATTTGGTAACAGGGGAAATTACAGAGCTGAAATTCTAAAACTTCATATTAAGGTCACAGTTTGTATCTGAGGTTGAGGTATATAAATTATTTTATCCGCTATTCGAAAAGTGTTTAATTTGTTATTGGGTTAAGGGATAGAGTTGGAATTCTCAAATTTGACGGAATTCTCAAATTTGATAATGAAGTCTCTTTTGCTATTCGGGATTGAAATATAGAATTGGTTTTGGAAATGTGTTCTATAATTGTACAAAAATTACTAAGTGGTACGAAATTGGTAATTGGGTGAAGGAATAGAGCTGGAATCTCGGTGTTACTAATTTTTTTTAGTGGAATAGAGCTGAAATTCTGAAATTTGATATTAAGATCACCGTTAGTTTCTAGGGTTTACATATAGAGACTCTGAAATAGTCTTGGACAGAAAAATTTGATAATTGTACGAAAAGTAATAAATAGTACTAAATTTGGCGTGGAGATAGAGCTGGAATCCCGAAATTTGATATTGAGTTCACTGCTGGTTTCCTGGCCTTACATATGGAGACGTTGAAATAGTTTTGGACAGAAAAATTGGAAGTGAGTCCATTCTACAATGGTTTTACTGGCCGAGGAGGACAACCTCAAAATGAAAGATTTTGAAGACTTTTTGGAGTAAAAGAAAAAAATTCCTATTATGCTTTCCAAAAAGGGAAGCACTTGAATAATAGAGAAAACATTGAAAGTCTGAAAATTAAATCCGATGTAAAGAAAATAATATGCATTTTGAGTATTAAAAAAGACTATCACCATCTCTTGGAAAGAATCTAGTTTCGCTGACGAAATACCGGACACTTGCTAGTTAATAAAAAAATTTCAAAATAAAGTTGAAACGATTAATTTTTTTTTTGTTTGGATTTTGTATTATTTTCTGAGTCCTGTGAGATATCTAGTGTTTCATTAGCTCTATATATTCCGTTTATGGCTCTGATATTGATTTCTTGCTCTTCCTTTCCTCTGTTAATCCCATTTTCTCTCTATCTGACTGTCTCTTTTTCTCACTCAATGCTATCTTTTATATGGACATATATTAAAACCAGGAAATTATTTTAAGTTATGTTTACAAGTATCAAATTTTTTTCCTGTTTTTATTTTTTCCAAAGGCTTAAAAAGAAAAATTAAAAATTTCAAAATGTGTTAAATTTTCTAAGAATTCTCAATTAAAATCAAAATTCCCAATGGCAACTCTTTAACCCATCTACCGGCATTACGAGTAGCTTCCTTGTTTTTATGCTTTGTAATCGTTTTACAATCAGATTTCTGTTCGAAATTCTTTTTTGTTCGATTACATTTGGATGCCTCACAATTTGTGCAAAACTATTACTTTCAAATCCAGTTAAGTAGAGCGATGATGGCGCTGTGAGGGGAGGGTGGGTGTCTGAATGATTCCACTTATTTGTTGAGTATAATTGGAAAGTATGACTTGTCGCCTTGAATTTTAAATCATTGCCAATTTCCAATGTCTTGAATTACCAGTGAAGGAAGAGCGTAATGCCAATTCTTTAATTTGTAATTCAAGGCCATGACAATGCTACGACGAAGTTTTCCAATTAATTTTTGTAATATTTGGAATTATATTGAAATGAATTTGAATTTAAGAAGGAGTGTGTAGGATGATATGTTCAAATGTATTTAAAAGGCAAAAAATCTTCTTTAAAATAAGGACATTTGAGATGAGTTAAATGATTTAGTATTTAAAAAAAAATATATATATGTATAACTTACCTGGAATCCTGACCACTCTCACCGGATTCTTGAACTCTCATGGCATACAAATCCTGGGAGAAAAGCTGTTAAATAAAAGATCATTTTAAATATATTAAATAGAGTTCTAAGTTAAAAAGAAAATATTAAGAAGACAAAAGAACTAGTTTATATCCGAACCTATGACTCCCCACAAAACCTTTTCAAATTTAAATTTTGTTATAGGCCGAAAAGTATGCTAAATTCAGTCGATATCATTGAGCAGCAAAGCCCTAATGGCACTAATACACATGAATAGAAAGAGCATAGCCAAAATGTTGACCCTTCTTGGGGGAGGTACCAGAAGGAGTGGTCAGATATATTTCATAATTACACCAGATGTTGTGTTGATAGAAATTATGAGATGTGCCGAGTTTGAATAGAATCGAATGTTCATTTCCTATTTTATAAGCTTCATGGTTGTTCAAAATGTTGGCCCATTGGGGCCAAAAATAGGAATGTGTGAAGTTTAGAATGAATCATATGCTTATTTCGCATTTTATGAGACATATAAATACTCAACATTTTTACCCATTGTGGGGGGAGGTACAAGAAGAAGTGGGCTAATTTCTACCATCTTAACACCAGATCTTACGCTGACGGAATTATTGGGATGTGTGAAATTTCAAGAGAATGGAATACTTATTTTCCGTTTTTTATACCCTCCACCATTCTATGGAGGGTATATTTACTTTGTCCTTCCGTTTGCAACTCCTCGAAATATTCATAATAGACCTTACAGAGTATATATATTCTGGATCGGCGTAAAATTCTAAGACGATCTAGCAATGTCCGTCTATCTGTCCGTTTGTTGTAATCACGCTATCATTCAAACAAATTGAGATAGAAGGCTAAATTTTTGCCAGTAAGCAGGTTAAATTCGTAAATGGGCCATGTCGGTCCACGTTTTCGAATAGCCCCCATACAACGGCACCTCCCGATATTCGGTATTTTCAAGATTTAACGACATTATTATTTAAAAGTTCGTATTTGAAGTTCGTAATGGGTACTACAGCCTATGACTAAATTTTTGTATGCAGGTCCAAGTCTTCGTATGGCCACCATATAATACCTCCCGATAATTGGTATTTTGATGATTTCAGCAACATTATTCACCGGCATCGTTTCAAATTTCATGCTGGAAGATACCAATGGGTGCTACAGCCTATGGCAAGACTTTTTTATGCAGGTTCAGATCTTTGTATACAATGGTAACTCCCGATATTCGGTATTTTCACGATTTTAGCGACATTATTTACCGGAATTATTAAAAATTTCGTAGTTGAAGTTCGTAATGGGTATTACAGCCTATGACAAAAATGTTTGTATGCAGATCCAAGTCTTCGTATAGCCCCCATATAACGCTACCTCCCGATATTCGGTATTTTCATGATTTTAGCGATATTATTGAGCGGAATTATTTCGAATTTCGTATTTGAAGTTCGTAATGTCCCCATATAACGGTTTTCATTTAAGTTGCAGGTTTCGGATTTTTTATTTTGAAATTTTTCAATTTCCTTCGAAATGGTGGAGGGTATTAAAAGTTCGGCCCGGCTTAACTCAGCTCCTTTTTTACTTATCTTTCTTGTTTTTTTTTTGTGAGCTTAACACCATATCTTGTGTTGCTAGAAATAATGATATGAGCGTAACTTAACTTAATCGGATGCTTATTTCGTATTATTTATTTAATTATTAAAATGTTGAATAAAGGGTATAAACTGGGGTTTTTTAAACAAAAATGAGACTTGATCAACAATATTCTTTCAACATCTATACCCTCCACCATACTATGGAGACTATATTAACATTGTGATTCCATTTTTAACTCCTCGAAATACTCATGTCAGACCCAAGAAAGAAAATTCTAAGTCGATTTTGTGAAGTCCATATGTCTGGCTATTTTTCGAAAGTTAGGTTCGGAAAGGGGTCATTTTGGCTCACGTTTTAGTCATTCAGGCAATATTCAACAATTTTTAATTCATTTTTTTTTTAATTTTGTATTTCGTATCCGTATAGCCCCATATCAGGGTTTTTTCGATTAAATTTTCCTAGTTGCTTTCGAATGCTGGAGGGTATTAAAAGTTCGCCCTGGCCGAACTTAGCTGCTTTTTACTTGTTTGGTCAGGAATTTTGTTTTTAATATTTATAAATTGTTAGCGTTTAGGTGGTAGGAAACATGTCCCCTTGTTTAGGTTTCTTTGCGATGTTAACTTTGACATTCACACTTGTCTGATATTTTAACCATTTAATTAATGAGTTTTATCAACCTGGACATGAAGCGAGTCCGGTCTACGAAAAAATCCAAAGTTAATCATTCAATATTTGAATCATTCATAAATTATGTGCAAAATTGGAAATCATAAGTCCTCTTCGTTTAATACCTCCTACAAAAAATATAACATTTTTAAACATCATTCAAAATATTTAAACATATGCCTGATTTCCTTTAACTTCTCACATCCAATATTTTTACTTATTTACCCCACATGAAAAACATAGGCACAATTATATTGCTATCTCCCACAAAAAGGACCAACATTTTTTAAAGCATAAATTTTGTAATAAACGAATGAGGTCTCGATTTTTCTGATCCCCACTTGAAATTTGTATGACTCTGTTTTCAATGACTTTATGACCAAAAATCATGGAATTTATAATTCTAGATTTTTATTTACAATATTTCTCTGGGCAAGAATTTATTCAAGGACTTCCTAGATTTTTGGAACTTTTCCTATAAAAAGTAGCAGAATAATCTTGTATGTGTAGCAGATAAATTACATCCAGCAACTTATATTTTTTTTAACTTTTTCTCTTATTTAGTAAAGTTAAATTAAAATATTTTTTTTTTATTGATATGAGAACTGGTACAAAATATAACCTTCTTCTAGAAAATATGAGCCAAACAAATTCAAAAAAAAAAAAAAAAAATGAAAAATTAAAAAAAATGATTTTTCCGAATATGCCCTTTCTTTTAATAAAAATGAGCCTGGAAATGCTAGAAAAAAATATATTTTTAATTATTACTACTATGTCAAGATCAAGCCTTTTCTAACAAATATTAATCGTGTGTTTCTGATTTTATTTTAATGTAAAGATTAACACTTCCATTTCAGCTAAGCTAAATTATTACAATTCACGATAACTGCTGCATGATTAAATATTCTTATCACCCTGATTAAGGACTAAATGCTGGTTCACATTAATACAACAAAAACAATTCTATTCAATTACTGTTTCAACATATATCTCAACCTAATAACACCAATCAATCAACAACAGCTACCACTTACCTCTCCATTTTCCGGCGGATCACCGTTGCCAAAGGTGGAGGCGACCACAATTAGCAGAGCCTCGTGTTCAATCGAAGATACATCGTAGTCGGCCATGCAATAGAGCTGAAAGGAAAAATAAGTGGGAAGACATTTATTTTCGATTTATTTTTTGGGTCAACTAATTAATGGTAGTAAAAGAATATAAGTAATCTGAAATCTAATGAGGGAAATGGCAGGGGTTTCAACTTAAAATGAACAACAGTATTATCGATGGCGTTAAGAAAGCGATTAGTGTTGATGTTCGGGGAGATTAATGTGATTGAAGGCTATTTCTGCTGAGTGTTAAGTGTTTTCTTGAGCAGGGGTTATAGAGATCGCTGACCGCCAACCCCTGAAAATTAGAATGTGTGGGTTGTGCTTACAAATAGAAAATCATTTTAGATGTTGAAGGGATTATATTAACCTGTAAGAGTTTTTTTGTATAAAAATATATCGAATATATATAACGGAATGAGAATCAACGCCCAGGCTAAACAGATGAAGCTAGAATCTCGAAATTTTGCATGAGGGCCAGTTTTTGGATATTTGTAGAAAAAGGGAACAAAAAGTACCAAAGTATACTAAAAACTGAATACCTTGTATTGGACAAACGAAATGAGCTAGAATTCTTTTAGATTCACTGATGCAATGCAGGCTTTTGCAAACTTAAAGGTTACGAAAGGTTTTAAAATGAAATAAACTTTTAAAATGGTGCACTTTGGTATTCTATGAGCGGATAGAGCTGAAACTTGAAATTCTGGTATGAGAATCAAGGTGGAAAAGTTAGTTTTGCAAATGAAGGTGGTTTCGGAAATATGTACTAAGTGGTACAAGAATTGGTATAGAATGAAGAATAGAGATAAATTTCTGATATTTTATATTTAGATAGGGGTTCTGAAATCCGTAATATATTTGTACGAAAAGTGCTAGTTGGTGCTAATTTTCGTACTGTATAAATATATAGATACAATTCAGACATTTGATTTTTAGGTTAATGATGGTATCAGTATTTAAGATTTGGCGGTGGTTTGGAAATGCGTCCTATATTCGTTCTACACAGTACTAAATATAGTTCTGGGTAAAGGTATAAGACTGGGACCCTCAACTTTGATATTGAGGTATCTGTTTGTATCTGTAGTTGAGATATGGAAGCGGTTTTGGAAACTTGACACATAGAGGAGATTTTGAAAGTGTGTACTATAATTGTAAGAAAAGTACTAAATGGTACTTAATGTGGTATTGGGTGAAGGAATTGAACTTAAATCTTGAAATTTAATATAGATTTTGGTCGTTCGTTAGTCGTTCGAAAAGTGCTAAATGCACTAAGTTTGCTATTGATAAGGGAAATGAGCTGAAATCCTGAAATTTGATAAATTTGATGTTGGTTATAGGTTTGAGAATTATAACGAAAAAAAGTACCAAAATACTAAAAAATTATACGAAAAGTACTAAATGTTACTATATTTTTGTAATGGGGGAAATTACAGAGCTGGAATGTTGAAATTTGATATTGAGGTCTCTGTTGGTAACTGGAAGTGAGATATGATGGTGGTTTTGGAAATGGTACCATAATTGTACGAAAAATGCTAAATGGTACTAAATTTCGTATTGGCTAAAGGAATATGGCTAAAATCCTCAAATTTTATATAAATATCCCTGTTGGTGTCAAGGATTGAGATATGAAGGTAGGTTTGGAAATGCGTACTAAAATTATACGAAAAATTCTAAATTGGGTATTGGATGAAGGAACAGAGCTGAAATTTTGAAATTTGATGTAGATGTCACTGGTGGTGTCTGTGGTTCAGATATGGAGGTGGTTTTGGAGGTGCTTTGTGGTATGGTTTTATGGTAAGAGCTGAAACCGTGAAATTTTATATTGCTATAATTTACATATGTTGGTGTCTAGGGTTTACCTTGACATACTGTTGGACAGATAAATTTGATGTTGGTCCATTGTGCAATGGTTTTACTAAATCCTTCCTCGTTATGTCAAACTAAACAAATTGTGCATTTTGAGTATGAACTCTTGGAACGAATATAAAATTTTAAGGTGGATTTTTCGATGACGAAGTAGCGGGGACATACGTTAGTAGGAAACCCCCTTAAAAGCTCTCACTTTACCTCTCCAAAAGCTTGTCTATATACTTTGAGATTTTTGACAGAGATTGTTGAGTCTTAAAGTCCAAAGTTTTCTTCCACAATCTTCTCAACAATTTAACAATTGTGGCTGTTCTTATTGCCTAGTTTCAATCAGGAGTAAAGTCGGTTGGCTGACCAGTCATGGGGAGATTTATAAAAAAATTATGTGGGGTAATAATATTGGATATGGATATTTAAAGAATTTTAAGAATACATGAATATATTTTTCAACAATGGTTTTTTAATATTTCTTTCAAATTATTTTATTAACGTTTTCTTTTAAAGTCCCTCAAACATGCAGGGCTTAACCCTGCTCTTGAATGTTCATTTAAATCTTTGTAATATTTACACAAAAATATTTATTTGCCCACAATATCAATTTATAGTTTCCAAACCTTGGTAAACATATCCTCTCCCTCCCGAATTATACACCACAGATAATAATAATAATCACCATGTCTGACATAAGTCAATTTATTAATTTGAAACTCCCTCGGGAGACCTGCTGAGTCAACGATACAAATCTTATTAAATGTGTCTGTCTGTCTCCACAAGTGGACAGCATTTTTGTTGGCTTTTGTGTTTATCTTTTGCGACGACAACAACAACAACTTTGACTTTTGTCCCAGCTCCTCTCTGGGCATCCCTGAACACAAATCACACAAATGTGTCACACAATAGAAGCCAAAGCAATTGCCATTCATTCATTCATTCATCCAACCATCCATTTGTCATCCTGAAGTGTTTGTCGTCAATTGAATGTTATCTCCGACTGGTGTCGAGACAATTGTTTATAATTTGAGTAAAATATGCCATATGTCACAACAGATAGATGTATATTTTGTCCAAGGAGCAGGTCGCAGATAATGGATAAGGACAGCAGTTTATTAACAAAAGGGAATATTTGTCAGAATATTTTTTTGCTTTTGAAGTCAATAAAAAAAATGTTGGGAGGACGATATTTCTAGATCCAGATAATAAAAAAATCGTAATAAAATTGAGAAGGTACTACAGGAATTTATTTCTGATTTAAAATAATATTTTGCATTTCAAGTAATTAATGATACATAGCATCCATGCGTATGAGTAACAATCAGTTGTTCAACAACACAACACTCATACGCCACAATGACCCACTGCCTTACATAATTTCGGGTATTTGAACAAAACTCAAGTTAATTTATGACATTTATATTTGCACTCCCACCACATCGTTGTTGGCCTGAAATATGATTATGTGATTTTCATTTCAAACATGCATATACAGCACGTTCAAAATACAACAAAGCCTCCGAAATTTATTATTTAACACAAGAGATATTTTTTAAATGTCTTCCTCCCGTTTTTTCATAAAATAATTCATTTTATTTTATTATTTTTTTCATCTTCACTCACCTGAGCATTGAATGCATGCCCCAATAATTCGCACAATTGCTTGGCATACTGCTCGGATTTCCCAGTCTCGGTTGCATACAAAACTGTTGCTTTGATTCGTTTCGATAAAGCACGTCCAAATAATTTCGATGTAAATTTCACAGCCCTGAAAGGAAAAAAGCGGGAAATAAATAATAAAAAATGTGAATTTTATTTTTAAATTAATTTTGTCGAAATTTATTTTGTTTTCTCGAGGTGGAAATTGATGATGTCGTTTTTGCAAATGGTATTTCTCTTCGAGGGGAAGCTTTTGAATGTAGGGTAGTAAACTCAAGCATATAAGAGGTACATATATTCTGGAGGGAGCGATCATACGCCATCTACATATAAAAAAGAAGTTAAATAACTGACTGACTGGATGATCTAGAATCAACGCCCGGCCGAAACTTTTTGCACGAGTGCCATTCTTGGTCCATAGAATGTCTTGTGTTTTGGAAATCCGTACTAAAAGGGTATGAAAAGTACTAAAATGTTCTAAAAAGTGCATATTTTGTACTGGACAAATGGGGAATGAGCTAGAATTCTGAAATTTAGAATAAGAGTCGCTGATGCCGTGCAGGATAGTTGTACCAAAGGGTTTCTGAAAATTCGCACTAGAAGGGTACGAAAAGTTGGACACATGGAAAGAGCTAAACTTCTGAAATTTTGAATGACTCATTGACGAATTGCAGTATAGACGTACCAAACGTTTTGGACATCCGAAATTTTAGGTTACGGAAAATTCTTAAATGGTACTAACTTCTGAAATTGAGAACAGTTAGAGGTAAAAAACTTAAAATTTGGCATGAGAATTAAGTTATGTTTGATATATGAAGATATTTTTGAAATATGTACTACAAGTGCACGAAAGGTACTAAACAGTACTATATTTGGTACAATTTGGTACTGAGTGAACAGATAGTGCATGAAATCTGAAATTTGGTATAAGGGTCGCTATTCATGTCTGGACATACGGAATGTGTACTATAATCCTACGAAAAGTACTAAATTTACTATTTGCTGGAAACCTCAAATTTGATATGGATGTCACTATTGCTGATTGCAGTTAAGATTCGGAAGTAATTCCGGAAATGTGTACTATCATTGCTATTGTTGAAGGGATAGAGGTAAAATCCGAAATTTAATGTTTGGATTATTGACGGTATATGTGTTCGAAATTTGGCGTTGGTTTGGATATGCGTTCTACATTTGTACAAAAATACTAAATGGTACTGAATTTGGTATTTAGTGAAGGCATCCTCAAATTTAATATTGTTGTTGGCATTTGGAATTGAGATATGGAAGTGACTTTGGTAATTGTGCGAAAAGTACTGAATTGTACTATATTTATTTATTGGTTTGATGGATAGAGAAAAAATTCTCAAATTTAATACTTGGATTATCGGTGTTTCAGAATTGGCATTGGTTTGGAAATGCGTCCCATATTTGTACGAAAAGTAATAAATGGTATTAAATTTGACATGGGGTGAAGGGATAGTGTCAGAATTCTGAAATTTGATATTGATATCTCGGTTGCTATCTGGAATTGAGATATGGAGGTGGTTTTGGAAATGTGTACTATAATTGTAGAAACAGTACTATATTTGATAATGAACGGAGCTGGAATCCTGAAATCTGATATGAATGTCACTGTTGGTGTCTGTGGTCAAGAAAAAGATCCCTTTTTGGATATGCCTACTATAATTGTACTAGATTTGGAAATGAAGGAAATTATAGACCAGATATACTGAAATTGGATATTTTAGTTGTTATTGGAGATGTTGAAAAAGTTTTGGGCTGAAAAATTGGATGTGGGTCTATTGTGTTATGGTTTTACTAATATCCCCCTTGGTAAGCTTCAAACTGAAACATGTTGAAGACTTGTTGGGGTAAAAGGTGAACCACTTTCCTATTATTCTTTTCGAAAATCGAAAAACTTATATTATTCGAGTTTTATCTTTTTCGGAAGGATTTCTAGAAAAATTCGTCAAGGACAATCAGACATTTAATTGTGGATTTTCAAAATATTTCTTTGAAGATTCATATTCGATCGTAGAATTTTAACGAATATTTTTTAAAGAAATGTAATACTTTTTTTATATCCTCATATATATTTTTATATCATTCTATGGAGGGTATCATTCTTTATTATTCAGTTTGTAACTCCTCGAATTATTATTAATACACCCTACAGGGTATAAATATTCTGGATCAGCGTATAATTCTAAGACGATCTAGCGATGTCCGTCTGTCTGTTTGTCTGTCTTCGTATAGCTCCTATATAACGGCACCTCCCTATTGTGGGTTTTTTAATGATTTAAGGGACATTATTCACTGGAATTGTTTCAAATTTGGTATTTGAAGTTCGAAAGGGATACTACAGCCTAAGACAAAAATAAAAACAGTATGCAGATCCATGTCTTCGTACATATAGTCCCCATATAACGGTTTTCATTCAGTGGTAATTTTCGGTTTTTTTTTGTTTTTTTTTTTTTTTTGAAAATTTTCCAAATGATGGAGGATACATAGATGCTTTTTACCTTTTTTAACGAAGCTATAATCGTTCATTTTCAAAAAAAAAAAAATTAAATACGACCGCGAAATTTTAAGAATATTTTTTAAGGACCATCATCGTGTATAATAAAGAATATTTTTCAAATGTCATCGGGAATTTTTTAAAAATATATTTTCAACTAAAGTTTTTTCAAAGACCATCATCAATTTTTTATGTAAATTTATTTATTTTGACATTCTAAATTTTTGAGGAATATTTATCAAGGAACATGGTAAATTTTTAATAATTTTTTTCAAGGAACATACATTTTTGAGCATATTTTAATATTTTAGAACAAACGGGGTTATAAAATAATATTTTTCAAGGACTTTTTTTGGCAGACGAATTTGTTTTTTATGTTTTAATTTGTTTTCCAATGTTTCGACTACCTTCGATAATAAATTAAAAATGAAAATTGGCGGAAAAATAAATTAAAATATAAAAAATCATACTTTTTTTAATTTTTTTACCTCAAGCCAAAGGACAACAATAACTTTACAAAAAATTAAAAGACATTAAAGAACCTAAAATATAATTTTTTTCGGGAGGAGAACTTATCTAACGGGCATACCTAATTTTTACGAATCATACCGATTTTTTTTAGCCGTACGGACGGATATCTTAAAATCAAGGTAAAATTTGATTCACATCGGGAATATATTTACTTTATGAGGTATCCCATAAAATAAGATTTTTGAAAAGGGAATAGCTATATAAATATAAATTCTATTTTATGTGGGGGGGGGGGTAAATTATTATAAATAATTTTTTCTAGCAAATGTTTCCAGAGTTGAAATAATTTATTTTAACGCTAAGAGGGAAATATCTAGTTATCTTTCCAAATTCTAACTTCTATATAAAGAAGACAAGTAGGAGGTAAATCGAGAATCTGTATTTCATAAAACTTTAAAAAGTGTTCTATATTTACAGAATTCATACGAAAATTTGATCTCTTGGAGGTTTACTATATTCTGGCGAATTCTTAGAAGTATTTTTTCCAGAAGACTTTATTCCGGCCTAATATTTTCAGAAGGCCCCCAAAAGGCTTTCCATTTACTAATGACCTCCTGATTATCTTCTATGTACTTATTTCTTCCCGAAAGTTTGTTATTTTTCCATTAATTATGTGCATATCTCACGGATCCGCTCAAATAAATCCATTCCAGTGGCATTTCATAATATTTATAATTAGTTTTTGTGGTCAGTCAACTAACCACCCACTGTAGATAGTAAATATTTTTAATTTGAAACAAAGATTTTGTTAAGATTACAAGGACATGGCCCAAAGCAAATAGTAGAGAGAATGAAAAAGTCGACAATTTCCACAAAGACCATGGCTATTTATTTCCACGGCATGCCTAACATTACGGCGCTTTTAATCCAGCCCCGCAAAACAACAATACAGATTTACAACTAATTTTCATCAAATCATCAGCAGCATTCCGCTGCAGTTCACTTTTTCTCTTCCCCAACACCGCTCCAATTTCCCCTCCGGTGGCACAAGAATAACAAGAAACCAAAATTTCTGTCATCATTCTCATGGAAAACAACAACCATTTTGATGATGGCATTTGCCATCTGGTCTCTTTGTTGTTGCTCTCTCTGCCTCCAATGGCTCGATTTTTGTCGACGATGTCGAGGTCGATGTTTGCTGTTGACTTTTGTGTCCACTACTGCGATGGGGGAAAACAAATAAATCCGGTAAACAAAACCCCGACGAAAATAAAAACTGAACTTTTACTTAGCTGAACTTTGCCGCTTTGTTGTTGCAAAACAATTACAAGAACATCAAAAACATGTCATTTACAAACCTCGACGAGCATTGGACGATGTTACAATGACAGCAGCAGCAGTCGCAGCCGCAGCTTTTGCCGTTTAACAGAGTCAAAATGATATACCCCAAAACACACAGAGCCAGTCACCGAATTCTCCGATTCAATGAAAGCACTGTGGCGTATACTTTTTTCGAACAGAATAGAACACAACGAAACAACACCATCCGTCATTCATGCATGACGCTCATGTGAACGACATAAGTGGCGACATCATGTTGTGATGCTGCTCCATTGTTGGTTTGGTTGTTGCTCTCAAAACACTCATTTAAAAATGGGACATTGTTTTTATTTTTATGGCCTAGTAAATGTGACAGCAGCGATGTCCTGGAGGGCATTTACAATGCCAATTCAAAAAATATTTTGGCGCCATGTATACGCCTATTGCCAGTGTATTCGGGGTGAAAATTGAAAATTTTGGAAAATTTTAAAATTTAAAGGTATAGAGAAAACATTACTTATTTGTCAAGGAAAATTTTTAGTTTATGGAAGACCTCAATTTAAAACCCAGTAAAGAAGTCCTAAAGTCGGGCGGGGCCGACTTTTTGATACCCTACACCACTTTGTTAACTTAGTAGAGCTCCACATAAAAATTAAAAGTTTTTATGGGAGAATTCAATCATACACGCTATGATTATAATTATAATTTAAAGTTCAAAGGAATAAACATGCCGAAGCATTTGTATCTTTTAAATTCGGACTTGTATTGGCCATTTGGTGCAAAATTAATTTGAAATCAGA